TTTGCCAGCCTTCGCCGACAAAGAAATTCACCTGCGATCTATCCCTCAATGGGGAACTCAGGTTCTTATATAATCGCTCCTCCGAACCTGGTTGTTGAGCAAGGGACTTATCATGCTCTGCTCTGTCTTAGCATGATGGTACCTGTTCTAGATTATCAACTCCGTAATAACTGAAATCCGGCTGCAGACTCAGGTATGAAGAGAAAACCCTCTGCATTCTGGAAACATGAATCCAAAGGAACGGTCCAGATGACTCGGTTCTTGGAATGCACAACTGCGGCCATTCATCCGGGTGATTCTCCAACCTCGTTATGACTCGCTGCGGTCTTTTTTGAGTTGATGGGCTTTAGAGTCAAAACTTTATGGTCTGGGAAACCAGGCGAGTTGCTCTCATCTCCCTTGCTGCTGTCTTCGCCACCATCACACACCTCTAATGCCATCTTTGGTGGTTTCTCTATCGCCGGAGACGCTGTGTCTGACTTCATCTCTCGCAATGTATTGAGAGCAATTCATGGTGTGCTTATGGAGGTATAAAATATGGTCAACTTGGATGACTCACTGGAAGTCTAGCAATAGCAACATGAGAGCACTTGCTCGCTCGCATCAGTGGCCACAAGGGGCAAACAAGTCAGCAACCGCATGTGGCTTGCTTCACTGAACGTAAAGATCGACAGAGACACAAAGCGGCGCATCGGGATCAAGTTTGGCATTCTCACGTAGGGACTGCCGTTGAGGCTGACAGCGGTGCGACCATCCCGGATCCTCGTAATCCTGCGAGAGACAGGCGTTGTACGCGGAGTCAGCTCAGTGAAATACAGTCCGAATAAGCTACAGGGGCAGGTCCACTGAAAGTGCCAGCTGACAAGTTTGCCAAGGAGTGTTTCCCACGCGTTCAGACCAAGCAGCGACCCGCTGGCGTCTGAACAAAGTTGAGTTTTGTGGATGACGAGGGGAAAACCTGGGGAGAAGTTGTCAATCACGTAACAGAAACTGAAGTTCACAGAACTGGTTGACTAGCGAGCAAACCTCGTGTCGAATAGTTCCGCTTTTCCCAGAGGTTGAGAGTCGTGAATGTGGCGTGCTTTTGCTGCTCTCCTTGTGCGGCGCGGCATTCTAGGCACGCTATTAGTAAAAAATTTCCCCGCACCCTGGTCATCGACTCGGGCCAGTGACCGGCTACAGAAGGTCGATAGCGAACCAGGGGGTGCTGAAGGAACGGCTCGGTTGGGTCGCCAATCGCTTGTCGACTGGGCGGTTTCCATCACAACGGTAGGCCAAGCTGTCTTGTATCTCGGCCATCTGGGCACGCCCAATCGACTGGTCTTACCAAGCCGATCTTGCGTCTTTGCTTATGGTCAAGCTTTTGGACCAGATGTGCCAAAGTCTTGGGATTTGAGGGTCTTTGACGACATGTCTTGGAAGTTGAAGATGGTCGAGATGCTCTGTTGATGGTCTTCTTCATCCGCAACGAAGGAGCCGCAACGCGCCGGGTTGGGTGCGAGGGCTGTGCCACGCCTGTCAATTGACTCTGCACCAGGCATGAGCGAATTTTGGCTTCCCCAAACTCATTTAGGGTAGCTCGTTGGAGGCTCTTGGCGTCAGCGGTCGCGATGAATCAGAGCCAAGAAACAGTGCTCGACTGCGCCGAAGGGTGCCAAAGTGCCCTTAGGATTGGCGCTTTTAGGCATGTCTTGGCTCGCGTCAACTGAAAACGCCTCCAACAGTTTGGCCGATCGATAGCCCGCCCCTAGCCGGGATTGATAGCGAGCGGCTGTTCACTATTCGTTGCTGGTAGAGACAGTGTGGATGGCGCTGATGGTTTTCACCCGTCAGCGGCGCGGCATGCCTCGCGCACGCCAGAGAGGCACTCGAGGGGTAACGTGCCGGCGCCAGTGTCGGCTCGACCTCGTTTGAGTGACACATTGAGGCAGACACCCGAAGCCACGGAACGCCGGTGGATCAAGGGCGACGGTTGACGTGCTCTAATGAATGGCACCGTGGTTCAAACATAGAGCGGTTTGTCTCTAGCGGTGGGACTTTTGAGAAAGTGGTCTGTTGTCGCCGCTGAATGGGACGAAGATATCCGTCAATGAAGTTATCATGACAAAAGGGTGGTAGCAATTGACGGCGGCGCCGATTCAGCTATCACGGCTGGTATCGCAAAGATGGTGCGCGTGAGACTGTTATCTTTGCCGAGACTTTGTTCCCCATATTTTGCGCCGTAGGAAGAAATGTCGTGGTATCGCAGGCCAATTGCAGGGCTTAGTGACGCACCCCCCTGAGGATACGATGATGAGCGATGAGGAAGCGGGCGTGGGTAGGTGATCGGTTGTCCAGTGGCAGCGGCCGTTGGGAGCTGGATGGACGGGGCGGACTGTTGTGTCGCGTCGCATCAGATTGGACGGGGAATTGCATCGCGGGAGGTCGAGTCAATGGACTGCGAGTGACGGGCAGGGTGGGTGATGGGCGGCGACGGGAAATTGGGGGTGTTCCGCGGTGAACGGTGACTGGCTCCGGCGATGGTGTGGTTTTGAGCGTCTGGCGGCATTCTAGAAGGATTCCTTCGCATTGTTAGTGGCTGCTGCCTCCCTGCCCCGCGGCCCCCGCCCGTGGCTCTCCTCTCGCGGGCGACATGTCAAAAAGGCAGGAGAGCGAGGAGGAACAGTCGGCGTCGCTTGGCTGCCGGGTCGCATCTAAGTTTGTTCGGTTCGAGGTTATTGAGATGAGATGGGCCTTGGGCAGATGCAATGGATGGCTGCGATGAAGGGAGGGAGGGAGGATGCTGCGAGATTCAACCATCAAGCAATAAGCCCCCGTCTTGTGCCTTCCCGAACAGGAAGCTGGACTGGATATGGCTTGGAATTGTGCGAGGCGGCCAAGAGGCACCAACTCGACCAGGCCACACAGCCCTGTTCCAGAAGAGCTTGGCTTCAGCTCGGTAGCGCCGGGAGACGGCGTTGGCAGAAGGGGATGCGTACGGCTGTACGTGTGTGTGCATTGGGAAGGGGGACGTACAATGTCAGCCAGACCGAACGATGAGGGGAGTTCTTTGTGGGAGAGAGAAACAACTGGATGTCACCCGGAAAGAAAGATACCTGAGGTAGGTACCTTATTTTTAAGGTGAGGCAGGCTTGCAGCATCGATATTCCATTTCGTAAGGAGCTGCCCGAGGGTGCGAATAGGCGGGAAGGTGGGAGTGGAGCAGGAGCAGGTTCATCCGTTGGTGCAGCCCTTTCCATGCTCAATTGTGAAGAAGGGACACATGAACCGGCCAACTGCCATTCTCACCTCTACAGCGCCCCCCTCACCTTGACCGAAACATTTTGCAGACTTGCAGTTGTCTCTTCCATTTCGTCTTACGCAAGCATCCGCCTGTACCGTCCCTATCTTCAAGGCCAAGACAAATGCCCCATCTCTGGCCCGGGCCCATTTCCCAGTGTCATGGATCGCACTCAACTCGTCTGATAGCGCGTCGTCTGCGACCCCCTGTCAGCCGTCGAAACGTCCATTTAGGCCCAGGTCTAGTCGAGGTCCAGTGCGCCGTCCCACCCCCGCGCCGCTACAAAATGCCCACAAGCACGGGCTCAGGCACGGTTCACCAACCTACCTACCTGAGGAAGGCAAGGTAGGTACGGATACAAATATCGCTCTTTCTCCCCGCCTTGGCCCAATCATCAACTCCCATCAAGCCAAGAACTACCAATAAGGACCACCGTCAGTCCTAATCACTTGGCAAAAACCGTCTCGGCTCTCCACCTTCTGCTCTCAGAAAGCTTGCTACGAATACCTAGCTCTTGCCAAGCCGCCGTGATGCCTCGGATGGGATGCTCTGGCCGTGAAGGCGACCACCTCGTGCCCGGCAATTTGGATGCGAACCGATGGGGGTAAGCGCACGTCTGTATGTTTGCTCGACAGCGCTTGTACTCGAATTCATATTCCAGCCTGACCGGCTGGTCTTACATCCCCTCCCCAGCAGTCTGCCTCGACGGCATCCACAGGCCTGCCTGTCAATCGCGTCAAGTGACACTGCACCACCGTTCGAGGTGACGACGTCCCTTGGAAGGGCCTTGTTGATCTTCCTTTTCGCCTTCCATACAGCTTCCACCGTTCCCGAGCGTCCATCTGCGCCATCTCCCATGTACGATCAAAGTCAACTGCCCTCGCCCCCGTCCCTCCCTGCTCTGGCGCCGCCGCTATCACGGCTGACCGACCGGTCCAATCGCCGCCAAGACATCACTGATTCGTTCGAGTGCGTGTCGAGTGCGTGTCGAGTCCTGTTGCTTTCTGCGCGTTAGCGACGCAGCTATCATGGGTGATTTCCCGGGGAGGAACCCATCCTGGAAAGCGAAGAAGAAATAAAAACCAAAGAGAAACTAACATGAGATGGGCAAGGTGCCCTTGAGCGTACCTCAAGTAGGGTCGCGGAAGGAAGGAACCTAGGTAGGGAAGAGGCCACCCCGGGGACCCTGGTCGATGGTGCAGCTTCCCATCAGTTGGATCAAGTCAACCCTTCGGTGAGGACGTTGGTTGGTCCCTTCCTCGAGCGAGAGGACGTTCCTTCCCCCGTCCTTCCTGCCCAAACCAGGAGGTGACCTACCTACCTTACTACCTTGCCTGCCTTGCCTTCCAGGTCCTCCTGCCTGCCTGCCGTACCCCTACCCTCACTTTCATATGTTTGGCGTGGCCTGGTCTGTCCTGGCATCGGGTCCCCTTCCCTGTCTGCACCTTGCGCCTGCACATGTCGCTCCCGTTGCTGGCTCTGCTCCTCCCGTCAACGCTTGCCTCGATTCTTTAATAAACGGCCTCCCGCCTCGTTCATGTCTCGCCTCTGCTTCCCTTCTCTTGCCCCTCCTGCCCCCCATACTCCTAGAGTACCTCGCAGAGTAACACCCTCTGTCGTCGACCAGGGCTCCAGTCACGACAAGCGCCAGCGCGCAACTGTTTATACTTCCTTTCTCGGTCTCTTCCCTGAACCTTGAGCCATTGGCGACAGCTTCACAATGTCCAAGGACGAGGCTGATGTCGGCGTCACGCCGCCTAATTACCCCTACGACTCCGAGAAGGGCGCCACTACCAAGGCCGCCACCGGTACCGGCCATGTTCCTGAGAACTTCCGCGAGGACGACTTCCTGACCCGAAATGGTCTCAACTTGAAGAGTTTCCAGCGCCGTAGGTTTCCCCTCATGGCGACGTTGGCTGTCGCGACCCCGCATCACCCGTGCCTCACACTTGCGACCGCATGCTAACTCTATCTCTGCAGGCGATTATGGTACCGGTGAAGTCGAGCTGGATCGCTCCATGAAGCCTCGTCACCTGCAGATGATTGCCATCGGTGGTTCCATCGGTGCTGGTTTCTTCGTCGGTTCCGGTAGCGCCCTGACCAAGGGTGGCCCTGGCTCCGTCCTCATCTGCTTCTTGATTGCTGGTGTCATGATCTTCAACGTCGTCTACGCTCTCGGTGAACTCGCTGTTATGTACCCTGTCTCTGGTGGTTTCTACACGTACTCCATCCGCTTCCTCGATCCTTCCTGGGGTTTTGCCATGGGCTGGAATTACGTATGTCGCATCCATTCTACCGCCTCGCGCATCTCTCAATTGACACGCCGCAGGTCTTTCAATGGGTCATCGTATTACCACTCGAACTAACGGTCTGCTCATTCACGATACAATATTGGAATAAAGAAATCAGCACAGCAGTATGGATCACAATCTTCTGGCTATTCATCATAATCATCAACGTCTTCGGAACCTTGGGCTTTGCTGAGGAGGAGTTCGTCTCCTCTACCTTCAAGCTGATCGCCACCGTTATCTTCATGATTGTTGCCCTTGTTCTCATCTGCGGCGGTGGCCCTGAGGGTGGAAAGTACGATGAGTACTGGGGCGACCGCCTCTGGAGGGATCCTGGTGCTTTCCAGAACGGCTTCCGTGGTTTCTGCTCCGTCTTCGTTACTGCTGCTTTCGCCTTCTCTGGCACTGAGCTCGTTGGTCTGGCTGCTGCTGAGTCCAGCAACCCTGCCAAGGCTCTCCCGGGTGCCATCAAGCAGGTCTTCTGGCGTATCACTATGTAAGTCTCACGCTTCAGCTGATTCCCCAAGTTCATTATTAACGTGATCCAGCTTCTACATTCTGGGTCTTACCTTCGTCGGCCTCCTCGTTAGCTCCACCGATGAACGTCTTCTGAACTCCGCCAACCCCTATGCCGATGGTGTCTCCCCCTTTGTTTTGGCTCCTCTCGATGCCGGACTTAAGGGATACGACAGCTTCATGAACGTCGTCATTCTTGTTTCCGTCGTGTCTATCGGTGTCTCTTGCGTCTACGGTGGTTCCCGTACCCTGACCGCCCTTGCCCAGCAGGGATACGCTCCTAAGATCTTCGCCTACATTGACCGATCCGGTCGTCCTCTTTACTCTGTTATCCTCAACCTTGCCTTCGGTGGTCTTGCCTATGTCCGCCTGGCTTCCTCCGGCGGTGTTGTCTTCGACTGGCTTCTGTCTCTTTCCGGTCTGGCTGCCCTCTTCACCTGGGGATCCATCTGCGCCGCTCACATCCGCTTCCGCGCTGCCTGGAAGGCACAGGGCCACACTCTCGACGAGCTTCCCTTCCGTGCCATCGGCGGAACTGCTGGTTCTTGGCTGGGTCTCTTCCTGATCTTCATCTCTCTTCTCGCCCAGTTCTTCGTCGCCATCGCGCCCCCCGGCAGCGCCGACCTGGCCACCGCTGAGGACTTCTTCAAGGCCTATCTTGCCCTGCCCGTTGTCCTCTTCTTCTGGGCCTGCGGTTACCTCTGGAAGCGCCAGGGCTTCCTCAAGCTTTCCCAGATCGACCTCGACACTGGCCGCCGCGAGCACGACTGGGATGAGATTCACGCCTACCGCGCCAAGGTTGCCACCTGGCCCAAGTGGAGACAGTGGCTTGACAAGGTCTTCTAAACAGCATGTGAATCTGCAACAGCTCGGTCACTCGAGCCATAACGGGGGATGTTTGGTGTTGTAAATCTGAGGCTTGCTTCGAAGCATCTATGTTTTTGTAGAGTCTCGCCATCTTGATACCTATCTAGTTTCTGATCTATAATCAGACATGCGTCTTCGTGCGCTAATACTCGAGTTTATTCGTGGTCAACTTCGCCATCATCTCTTTGTAGTCTTTGGCTATACGCAGGCCTGTGACCCGGTTATAGCGGTTCTCACATCGCGCATGATGCAATCTTACCCCGCCCTTGCACGTTCGAAGGCCTGTTCCTTGCAACCAACCACTTGAACTGCATTTCACATCAAGACCATACATCCGACCAGAGACAAGGCCTACTTAGGGGCTGCACATTTTAACATGAGGAATCATTGCTGCCTCCAAAGTCGACAAGTGCATTCCTCTAGAGAGAGGGGCGCTGAGGCGGAAACTGACCTACCTAGCATTCAATCGGCACGAGTTTGCCGGCAGAGCATGTGCAAAGTCAGCACGTCGTCAAAGGAGAGTTTGTGGCGGCCCCGTAGCTGTCGGGCCTGGCCGCCCCCGTTGCGGGTCTAGCGTCGCCGCCGGACCCGAGTTGAAGACGGTGCGCAATTACTTCCGACCGGAGAAAGCGGCAAAGTATAGAATGATCCGTCAGTATGTTCAACATGTTGCGGTAAAACATCACGCGAGCTTTCGATTCGTTATTTTGAGGACCACTTCATGCAAGACCTTTGCTATTCTGGCGCATAATTAGTAGCAATACGTTACCAGTAGTGATAAGTACGGAGATAACGAAGAGGACGACGACGACGACGACGATACCAACGACAATAACTACAATATCGGCAGTAGTAACAGAGACAATAATGAAAGGAATTATGTTTTTGACATGACTTATGTGTAGTAGTCCGCCCGGAACCAAATAGCAAAACTCCAATGCAATCAGGAGACCACTGCCATGTGCTAGCGGCGGAAATGGACTAAGACTCCGAAAGGGCATGCAAAACTCGGTTAGTGTCTGGCTGGAGACCCCTTCCACGTGGATATTCACTCTATTTTCATGCGCTTGTTGGCTTGGGATCTCGTACCGGCCCCCACGATCCACTGGATACGAGAAGGCCGGGGATCATAAGTGGACCTGCCAACAACGCCCCTTCGTATCTGTGTCATTGTGAAAAATCACAGCGTTCCCCGAGTCTGTGAAACTCTTCGACTCGTCCTTTTGGAAATTTGCGAAAGACAACTTTCAATGACCAGACGTCCACCATGCGACTAACGACAACTCCACGCGTAGGATCGACTCTTGCGCCCTTCCTGCTACTGAGTACACTCGCCTCAACAACAAGTGCCGCCTACGTCCAGTTTCGAGATTGCTACGATGCCATTTCTTCGGAGGTGGCAGCCTCGTCGAACACTCGACTCACGCCTGAAGGTCTCAGAGCCGCCCTCGATAACTCTGATGCCGTCACGAAACTCCACTTGAACCTCACGGGAAGCTATCCTGGCGTCAAAACTTGCGATCTTGTCCCGTCTTCAAACGTATCGGCGACTGTCGAGATAACCAGCCTCACGGCCTCCAAGAGCTACACGGTACACAACCTCACGACCAGTTGCCAAGAAACAAGCTACCCAAACCACAATGTCGCCCTCATCCGCCACCAAATGACATTCCTCCTCGTTCCACCTTCTCTCATCGACAGCTACGACCTCAACCTACAACTATCATCCTCCTCGCAGCCATTGTCCTGCGTAGCCGCCACGATAACTCCCGCCCTCTCCCCGATCGCCAAATCCATCGCCCAATACCTTCCCCCGGCTACTCTCCTCCTAACCCTCCTCCTCGCCCTCTGGCACGAACTCCTCCCCCTCCAAGTCCCCTCGCCAACCTTCAACGGCCCCTTCATCTCCTCCCCCTCCCCAACCCACCTCACCCTCATCTCCCAATGCCTCACCACAATGCAATTCCTCTTCCTCTCAACCTCCCTCACGATCCCCTACCCCTCCTTCCTCCCCCCCCCCGCCTCCCCCCCCCCCTCC